TGTGCGCCGGGGGGCCCTCACACTGAGCTCGCGAATTGTATAGAGAAACCGGGCAACCAGAGCGCCGGATTGCAGAATGGAGACAAGCGGGGTCATGTGTACACCGACCTGGCATACTGCGGAGCCACCGCCCGCCGCGGTCACATGACCAGCCCAGCTAAAGTCACATTTTCACGGTGTCACTCTCCTGTCACACGGCGCACAAAGCACCAGATGGCGGATTTATTTCATGGCGGCGGGACGATATCCCGTCCTGCGATTGGCTGATCTCCCGATTAGCTCCATATATGGGCATGTAGACAGTCGCAATGACAGGTCCTCTTGAGCTGTTGTGTGGTCTCTCCGTAATTTTGGGGTCTTATCTGCTGAGGCGCCATGGTGTCGCATATTTCTGTATGTGACCGACTGGCGGCCAATCGGCGATCACTATGCATGGTGGCAACGGCTCAGGGCCAAAGAAAGCTGAGATCTGATTGGCTGACCATACTATATACAATCTGATTGTACCGTCATCTATGGAGTAGAGGAGCCTGACTTGATTGCCATCCTATTACATAATTACGGTAAATGGAAGGCATATTGTACAATAAGATTGTACCGGAGCAGAAGAAAAGTGCAGCAGCAGGAATGAGACCCCCACCCGGCGGCGAATCCAAGGAACCTTTCCGCCGGGGTCACCATAACTGGAATGTCGGAGGACACGGCGACAGCTCCGTCCGCGCATTAATGACCGGCGTTCCTCCAGGTTAAACAGTAACCACCCCTCCCCCGGGGAATCATTTCACCCAACAAGAGGAAACTTGTTACAACCTGTGAACACGATGTAAACAAGGACAGGACAAGATGACGTGCGCGCCGCGCTCCAACTGCATTATTGGTGGAGAACCGACAGAGATTCCCAGCTCTGCCCAACCCCCGCCATGTGGTCTCACTCCTCCTGCTTCATTCTCTAGTATAGAGAGGAATGATGATGAGCAGATTTTCCAGCGTGCTGGATCAGATCGGTCCAGAAAAATCAACACTGCAGATTGGGGCATGAGGGGGATGGGGTCACCTCTGACGGGGTCACCCCTCTGAGTGCTATGTGTATGTATGATGGCTGCCTGGGGGGATGGGGTCACCTCTGACAGTGTCACCCCTCTGAGTGCTATGTGTATGTATGATGGCTGCCTGGGGAGGGGGGGAATGGGGTCGCCTCTGATGGTGTCACCCCTCTGAGTGCTATGTGCATGTACGATGGCTGCCTGGGAGGGGATGGGGTCACCTCTGACGGGGTCACCCCTCTGAGTGCTATGTGCATGTACGATGGCTGCCTGGGAGGGGATGGGGTCACCTCTGACGGGGTCACCCCTCTGAGTGCTATGTGCATGTACGATGGCTGCCTGGGAGGGGATGGGGTCACCTCTGACGGGGTCACCCCTCTGAGTGCTATGTGCATGTACGATGGCTGCCTGGGAGGGGATGGGGTCACCTCTGACGGGGTCACCCCTCTGAGTGCTATGTGCATGTACGATGGCTGCCTGGGGGGGATGGGGTCACCCCTCTGAGTGCTATGTATGATGGCTGCCTGGGGGGGATGGTGTCACCCCTCTGAGTGCTATGTGCATGTATGATCGCTGCCAGGGGGGGGATGGGGTCACCTCTGATGGTGTCACCCCTCTGAGTGCTATGTGCATGTATGATGGCTGCCTGGGGGGGATGGGGTCCCCTCTGGTGGTGTCACCCATCTGAGTGTTATGTGTATGTATGATGGCTGCCTGGGGTCACCTCTGATATGTCATCCCTCTGAGTGCTATGTGCATGTATGATGGCTGCCTGGGGGGGATGGGGGTCCCCTCTGGTGGTGTCACCCATCTGAGTGTTATGTGTATGTATGATGGCTGCCTGGGGGGATGGGGTCCCCTCTGATGGTGTCACCGCTTATGTGCATGTATGATGGCTGCCTGGGGTCCCCTCTGATGGTGTCACCACTCTGAGTGCTATGTGCATGTATGATGGCTGCTCCTGCATGGTCCAGGCAGTGGAGCCAGCGGGCACAGAAACATAGTGTGGGAGGGTGTCAGGCGCTGGGTTTGCTCCCTCCGACCCGACCCGGTCTGAAGAGGAGGATGGAGATGACGCCATTGGTTAGCAGTGAGGTGCGAAGGACTTTGGGATTCTTGGTTGTTTTATGTCGGCTCTGAATGGCTCCGGCGCCGCACAAAGACGCTTTGACAATGGAGCTCATTAGGATGCGGAGAGCGGGACGCGCACCAATTCCCTCTCATCATCATGTCCCGCTTCAGGCGGCCAGCTTATGGCGCACGCAGCGGCCGGGGCGAGCTCCGGGTACCCCAGGTCTGAGATGCGAGGTGGAAGACGCTCTCACTGCAGGGCTGTAAACCCAAATTGGCCAATCGCTGTCTAGGCCAGTTACCCCCATAATAGCAGCCCATACCTTCAGACGGACCAATCCCAGAGAGATTGGCCTGTGTGTGGGGGAAATCTGTCACTCGGATGCCTGTTGCAGGGAGCCAAAATCTGATTGGCTGCCCAGGGCACCACAGACAGGCCGGGACCGTCGGTTTAGGGGATTTAAAGGGCCCCAAGACAATTATTCAGGTTTCCTTGAAAGATATTGGGGGGATTTATTCTGGTGCGCACCCAACTTCCTGTCCTGCCATCCTAGAGGAAAATGTATAATCCCGTAGTTCATGTCCCACCCCCCCCCAAAGCCGACTTATCTCAGGAGGACGATTGTGATTGGACAACATGTTCCCAATGCCCGCCCTTCCAATATGATGTATGCAGGCAGTGGAGCAGATTGCGTTAACCTATAGCAACCAGTTGGAAGGTGGCGTCTGGTTGCTATAGGTTACCAGTCACTATGTGCAGTTGCCCGTAGAAACGCAGGTCACTTGTTCTTGGGGAAACTGTAGCAGATATGCCCTGCCTTTTTGCTGTGGGTTACATCACTCCCTTTGTGCAGTTGCACATAGCAACATAGCAGGTCACCTGTTCTTGGGGATTCTATAGCGGGTGCCTCCTGATGGGTTGCTATGGGTTACCAGTCACTATGTGCAGTCGCCCGTAGAAACGCAGGGCAACCGTTCTTGGGGATACTGCAGCAGATACGCCCTGATTGGTTGCTGTTGGTTACATCACTCCCCATGTGCAGTCGCTCATAGCAACGCAAGTCCCCTGTTCTTGGGGATGCTATAGCGGGTGCCTCCTGATTGCTGTGGGTCGCGGCACTTCCTGTCCGGTTACATAAAGGTCGCCGTGTCAGTCAGTTTATGGCCGTCTGTCTTTTGTGACTTTAAATAAACAGTTTGTGAAATGCGCTCCCTGCAGCTGCGCTGGGCAGTCTGGACGCGGCGAGCGCTGATAGAATGGCGCCATTGTTCTGCTCCCGCCTCCTGCACCACCGCTGTCAGTGTATCGTCTGCAGGACGGTGATGGAGAATCGGATGTACTGGGGGGGGTTCCGGGTGTGTTGCCAAATATCTCACCGACTTCGGTCTGCTGGGTGACAATTTACGTCGACCAATCAGCAATCCCCGTTCACAGACTGAATGCAGGAGCCGCAATCTGATTGGATGCTGCATGTGTGTGCAATATTCTCTACATGCTAGCAGAGGCAAACCGTCCCATGGAGTGCTATAATCACGCACAACAACATTCACCCAACACGATATTCACCTACAATTATATTCGCCCACCAGTTTTCACCGGCAGCGGTATTCACTCACTATTATATTAACCTGCAGCCGTATCCACCCACTCCATTTTTCACCTGCTATAATATTCACCAACATTGATATATTTACCAACAGTCGTGACATTTGCAATATTCACCCACCACTGTATTCATCTGCTGCGATATTCACTGGTAGCAGTTTTACACCCGCTCCAATATTGGCCAAATGCGATATTCACTTACAGCAACATTCACCGAACATGATAATTGGCTGCCACTAGATTCACCTGTAGTGATCAATATTCACCTACCATGATTTTCACCTGGAGCAATATTCACTCACCATGATTTTCACATGAAACAATCTTTACCCACCAAAATATTCACCCACTGTGGTATTAGCCAACAACAATATTTACCTGTTAGGATTTCCACCTGCCACAACAACATTCACCAACCATGATATTCACCCACAGCAACCTTTTCCCAGCATGATATTCACCTGCAGTAATGTTCACTCAACATGAATTTTGTACCTTCAGCAACATTCACCGACTAAGATTTTCACCTTTGATGATATTCACCTGCAGTGATTTTCACCCACAACAATTTTCACCTGCTATGGTATTTACCTGCAGCAATATTCACCCACCTTAATATTCACCAACAATCATCAATCCCAGCAATATTTACCCACTACTATATTCACCTGCTGCAATATTCAACCACAACATCATTCACCCAGCAGCATAACCTGCTGCCACTACATTCACCTGCAGTGATAAGTATTCACTCACGATGATTTTCACCAGCCGTCATGTTCATTCACCATAATATTCACCCACCACAGTGTCAAAAATATTTACCCACAACGATTTCCACCTGCCACAATATTCCCCCGTGATATTCCCCCGCCCCAGTTTTCACCGGATGAAATATTCACTTTGGAAGTTTCAGTCTTCACGGCGGATTGGTGGAAAGTTTTTATCCAGTAGACAATAAACCCGCCGCGGGGAATCTGGTGACGCCAAACATTCACTCTGATCGGTGTTTATATGAGCTGAGTGAAAAATGATTGTCCTGTGTGCAGAGGGCCGATAGAAGCTGGGGGGGCAGACAGAATGTGGAGCCGTTGCCCATGGCAACCAATCAGCTTCTCTCTTTCACCGGCAAAGCTTAATGGAACAAGCTGGGACGTGAAGCTGATTGGTTGCCATGGGCAACAGCTCCACATTCCGCCTGTCACCGACTTCTCTGCGGCATTGTCAGGAAGGGGAATCGGTGAGTGCCGGCACCCCGGAGACAGAAGAAAGCGTCTTACCGCGACAGGAGGTGAATCCGGCGGACGGGGGGAATCTTCTTGTCCTGGGTGGGAGAATGTTGTGTCCTCCGTCCGTCTGTCTGTCCGCCGCTGGCTGGCGCTCCTCTCTTTTATGGTCGTCTGATCAGATAAGAAGCCGGCGTCATGTGGGGTACAGCGACCCCCTAATTCTGCAGCCACCGGCCCATCGCTCTCCGGGATGAAAGGAGAGTTTTATGTCACCGAGGGGAAGACGGAGAAGAA